TTCTTCAGTTTGTATGGAGCGTGACCCCAGTATTACGGATTGATTTGGCCGTCCCTAAAATACGGGCCACAGACTGGAAGAGCTATGAAGTCGCGATGTATCGAAGGAAACTCTATCTTTCGCTACGCGACTCACGTCGCCCTCGTGGAAAAGGCAACTACTCAAGGCCCAAGACCGGCACGAACAACGGCTTGACAAACAGGTTAAATTGTCTTACGAGGAAGGGGATGACGTGTGAGTGTATCAGCTCTTCCGAGCGCGCGCTGGGGAACGCCGAACCAAGAAGCTGACGTTCTCCTGGCACGGCCCGTACCGAGTAGTCGGCCAAGTCGGGAAGAACGCCTATAAGATCGCGATCCCCACGCACCCCAACCGGATCGTCACGGCGAATGTGAATCGCCTGAAGCGCTTCCGTGGTCGTTGGAGTAGGGCGCTCGCGGATGAGAGACCTGAAGAAGCCGAAGAGAGCGCCTCCGACGATGAAAAGGGCCCGCTACAAGAAGGAGACCTTCCTCTGACAAGCTTTGTGGAACGCTTGAATGTGGATGGAGAGGAAACTGCCTTTTTGGGAGTTTCGTCGCCTATCGTGGAGGTGTTGGCCAAACGGGTGGAGAAACGAGAGGTTCAGTATTTGGTGCTCACGGCCACGTACGAGACATTCTGGTTGTCTCGAGCGGCTTTGGCACCCGAGTTTGGAACGCTGACTCGTGCTTTCGAAGATGCAGACCGCCGAAAAAAGGGGTCTGCCGGAATTACGTCGGGACGCCAGGTTGGTAGAAGCCAACGCTGACGTGGACAACGCTGACGTGGACAACGCTGACGTGGACAACGCCGAGATACAGTTTTAGCAGGGGTAGTCTTGTTGGGTTGAGTGCGATCAGGGACTGCATGGAAGAAAGTGGAGAGTGCGAAGGACTTGCGAGGTCTCTGCGTACGGCGTGATGTGTTTGTGTTTTATTTTTACATTTTTGGATTATATTAAGTTGATCTAATGGTGGAACGGCTCGACAATATTGAAGGGGAACGGTGTGATTCGCTAGCGGAACTGATTTGCGGTGTCGAAAGGAGAGCAACGTGTTTGGCTGGTGGAACGGGTTGATAATGGAGCGCTGTGAGTAACGACGAGCGGTTGGAAAGAGGCGTGTGAAAAGGAGGAGGAAGATCAGGTGTGTGTGGACAAGGGAGGAGCCCTGAAAGAAGCAGTATGAGAAGTACGGAGAACACGAATACGAAGCTCAAGAAGGAGCACAACATTAAGTGTTAAATATGAGAACGGCTCAAATGACGCGAAGTCGGAACGTCATGAAGCTACTTACTGGAGGACTCCTTGTCGTCTTCATAATCTTCGTCATCCTCGGCATCGTCTTCGCCCGAGATCTCTTCCTCTTCTTCTTCTTCATCGTCGAGACCTTCAACCTCTTCAGCCGCCGCTTTCTTGCCCGCCGCAGGAAATGAGGGCTTCTCGTCGTCGTTGTCCTATCCGTCGTCTTCGAAGTCGGACCAGTCGTCGCGCTCGATCTCGGCGCGGGTCGGTGCGCCTACACAACGGATCTCGTAGGTGCCTTCGATGATCTGTACCGTTATCAGGTCTTGGACCTCCTTGACTGTGTTACTGTTGACGATCGACTTACAAGGCTCGGCCGGCCGACCTTCGACCCAGGAGTCCTGGGGCCGTACGCTAGACATGATGTCCTTGCGTATGCGTGCCAGTGCCGCGATCGTGAGACGATTCTTCTCGTCCGCCGCCGGGTTCAGCGCTTTAGTAGACTACAAGAATACGCGCACGCTGTGGTATCCGTAGGCGTCTATCTTGACGGGCTCCAAGGCGTTCTCGAGGGTCGCGTCGTACCTCTTCCGATCGTTCTCGTGAAGAACGGCTAAGTCGTCCGCGACTGGCCTATCGTACTTACGCGCGTCACGAGAAAAGCGACCGGGTTGCCCTCCCAACCAAAACATCTCGGGTGCTGGTCCAGCCTTCTCCATGACGACGTAGAGCCCCCATGTCTCGATGCACGTGCTGGTGAAGGCGAGACGGGCTTGGATGGCGCGCATCTTGAGCTTACGCCGACTCGATTGAGCCGCTTCGGGCTCGAGTGGAGCGTGGAACGCCCACTCCCAGAAGGTGCGGCGATGCGCCATCCAGAACCGCCAGTGGGCGCGAAGCACGTGCCGGTATTTCTTGGGATCGGAGTAGAGCGTCCTACCCGACCAAGAGAACGCTAGGCACCACAGTTTCTTGCCGGCCTCCGCCGCCTTCGCCAGAACGGCTAGGATGGCCTATCGAACAGGAGCGGGGGTCTTCGAGCTCCGCTCGAGGAGGTCGCATAAGTCCTCGGCAGGAACGTGAGCCGCCTTCTTGCCCTTGTCCGTGGAACGTTTCTTCTTGGTCGGCGACTTGGTGGCCGAATCTTCGCTCGCCTTGCGCTTGGAACTCTTACGAAGATTTGGCTACGATGAAGCACCACTGGAAGTCGCCGAACCTGGAGGAGGTGGGAGGATCACTACGGGACCCAGGAGAGTGGCCGTCGCGTCGCCGTTGAGGACGTCTTGAGCCAGCCGCTGTAGGTGGTCCAGACCCGACGACTGCGGGTTGCCGCCGAGACGCGACAACAGGTCGTCGAGGAACGCCTCATTGAGGGCTCGAACGTCGCTACCGAACGTGCCTTGCTCGTCCTGTTCCAGAGCTGCGTCAAGAAACTGGCGGACCTTCTTCCGCCCGGCCGAAGTGAACCGTGTGGACATGGCGAAGGAGCGAGGTGTCGAGGAAGAGAAGTGTTGCCCGAGGGAGGAGTTTGAGGAGTGAGAAGTTACTGGAATGGGGTTTCAGCTTGATGGCTGACCTTGGCGTGCGTGCGGGTTGCGACCTTGGGAAGTGGAGCCGAGAAAGGAGCGGTCAGATGAAAAATGACCCAGGAAGGAACGGTCGACCTTTCAGGGAATGGGTATTGCCACTTGAAGATCGTCGGGACCGATGAGTGACTGGGTTATCTGGCGGGAAGTGACGTCTCCTCAACGTGTGTCGAGGACGGCGCCGAACTGAAGTTTGTGGGGAGTGCTATAGTGGGCATCGTAGCGTGGGTGATAACCACGCCTTTGCGGAACGTCTCGTGGGCGTTCCTGGCGGGTCTAGGACATAGCGCTCAAGCGGTCTACTTCTTCTTCCACACGTGTGGTGACCGGTTTGTAGGAGCGGCCCCCGAAACGTACGCGCTCGCCTTGCCACCGGCAGAGGTCGCGGCTTCTCTGTTGACTCTGGCCTTCCTAATTCCGATAGCTGTACTGAGAGACTATGAGGAACGCTTTGGGATCGTGGGACGCCTCTGCTTGAAGTGGTGCGAGGCGTTCCATCACTCCTGGTGCCTGTTCTTTCCTGAAGCGGTACGGCTGTTGTGGACAGCCACCGGAAAGTACGCAAGAGCTACGAAAGAAGCTACCGTTGCTGTCGCCGACAGAGTGGGTGACATCGTCGTCGGTGGGTACCTGTGTGACGACGCTGATCCTGATCTACGTACCACGAATGGCGTATGAAGGTACTGAAGGAGTAGTCCATGGTTGGATGGGGCGTGGCTTTCGTGGTGCTGATTGTGGACGTCTTAATGAAGTTCTCTACGTGGTGTTGCTACTGGAACGCCTCGCTATTGATGGTCGGCTGTTACAGCCATTTGATTCACAACTATTGGGGAATTCGTGTCGACAAGGAGCGAGGGCCAAGGGTGAGAGCTAAGCAGGGATGGGATGGGCTCGCTGGACGGATAGGGAGACGCGAAGAGCGCGGATCTAGGGGCGCCGTCTCCGGTAGAGAACGCGAGTCCTGAACATACTGGAACGCCTCGGGGGGGGGGCGTTCCTCTGAAGTGGCTGCTGATACCGTGGGACCCGTGTCGGGCAAGGAGGCTCGGCGAGGACACCGAGTGGTAGTCGGGGAGAATTGTCACGGTAGGAGGAAACTCGCCATTCTCTCGGACTGCGCTCGGAAGCTCAGCTTGCTGCAGAAATCGCAGGCCACGTCCAAGCAACTGTGCCCTCCGGCCCAATCGGCGGCGTTCCAAGCCTAGAGTGGAACGCCTGGCCGTCGACAAGGGTGGAAATTTGCGTTGGACCTCTACGTGGAAGCGAAATACAGAAAGGTAAGGAGCCTAGTGCTCAGTTGGGAGCTTTAGGTAGAAGCTCAGTCGTGATTTTCCTTCTTACAAGAGAAGTGCTCAAGAATACAACAACAACTTTACATTTACGTGATAAACCTAAGTTCCTACGTCGGCCTGCTCGATACACGACCCCGACCTAAGGAGGATTACCGCGACAGCTCCTGGGCTCTCGGTAAGTTTCCAATGATGCTGCCGCTGGGGTTAGCCTACTGCGTCACGACGACGGATAACAAAGAACCATCGTGATGTCTATTGGTGGGCAATGGCCCTCATTAGAACACGCCTTGCTCTCAAGATCAGTAGTGTACTCAATCTCACCACTCCGACATGTAAATTGAAACAACAAGCAT